CCTCACCTTCATCCCCCATCACCTTCCTCGCCCTCTTGCTGACCTTCCTCCTCCTCCTCTTCCTCCTCCTCCTCCTCTTCCTCCCCAGGAGAACCCGAGCGAGGAGGACGCCGCCATCGTGGACAAGGTGCTCTCCATGCGGGTGGTCAAGAAGGAGGTGAGCTCACCTGGGGGAGGTGTGGGCTCACCTGGGGCTCACCTGAGCTCACCTGGGGCTCACCTGAGCTCACCTGAGCCTCACCTGAGCCTCACCTGGGGCTCACCTGGCCTTCCTCCCCCTCCTCCTGCTCCTCGTCCTCAGCTGCCCTCGGGACAGGTGGTGGAGTCCGAGGAATTCTTCGTCAAGTACAAGAACTAGTGAGTGCTCACCTGTGCTCACCTGTGCTCACCTGTGCTCACCTGTGCTACCTGTGCTCACCTGTGCTCCCCTGTGCTCTCCTGTGCTCCCCTGTGCTCCCCTGTGCTCACCTGTGTTCCCTGTGCTCACCTGTGTTCACCTGTGCTCACCTGTGCTCACCTCTGCTCACCTGTGCTCCCCTGTGCTCACCTGGGCTCACCTTTGTTCCCTGTGCTCCCCTGTGCTCACCTGTGCTCACCTGTGCTCACCTGTGCTCACCTGTGCTCACCTGTGTTCCCCTGTGCTCACCTGTGCTCACCTGTGCTCCCTGTGCTCACCTGTGCTCACCTGTGCTCACCTTTGTTCCCTGTGCTCCCCTGTGCTCACCTGTGCTCACCTTTGTTCCCTGTGCTCCCCTGTGCTCACCTGTGCTCGTTCCCAACGTTTGTGGTCACTCAGGGTTGTTTTGGGGCCATTTTTGGGTATTTTGGGGCCGTTTTGGGGCTGGTTTTTAGGGCCATTTTTGGGTTTTTCGGGGCCGTTTTTGGGGTTTTTTGGGGCTGTTTTTGGGTTTTTCGGGGCTGTTTTTGGGCTGGTTTTGGTTTTTTTGGGGCCGTTTTTGGAGTTTTTGGGGTTGTTTTGGATTTTTTTGGGGCCGTTTTTGGGGTTTTTTTGGGGCCGTTTTTGGGGTTTTTGGGGCTGATTTTGGGGTTTTTGGGGCCGTTTTGGGGCCGTTTTTGGGGTTTTTGGGGCCGTTTTTGGGGTTTTTGGGGCCGTTTTGGGGTTTTTTGGGCCGTTTTGGGGCCGTTTTTGGGGTTTTTTGGGGCCGTTTTTGGGCTCGTTTTGGGTTTTTCGGGGCCATTTTTGGGTTTTTTGGGGCCGTTTTTGGAGTTTTTGGGGTTGTTTTGGATGTTTTTGGGGCCATTTCTGGGTTTTTTGGGGCCATTTTTGGGCTGGTTTTGGGTTTTTCGGGGCCATTTTTGGTTATTTCGAGGCTGGTTTTGGGGTTTTTTGGGGCCGTTTTTGGGCTGGTTTTGGTTTTTTTGGGGCCGTTTTTGGGGTTTTCGGGGCCGTTTTGGGGCCGTTTCTGGGTTTTTTGGGGCCGTTTCTGGGTTTTTTGGGGCCGTTTTTGGGGTTTTTGGGGCCGTTTTGGGGCCGTTTTTGGGTTTTTTGGGGCCATTTTTGGGGTTTTTTGGGGCCGTTTTGGGGGTTTTGGGGGCGGTTTTGGGGCCGTTTTTGGGGTTTTTTGGGCGGTTTTGGGGCCGTTTTTTGGGGTGTCCCCCCTCCCCATGGCAGGGTCGGGGCCCTCACCTGCCCCAGGTGGCCTCACCTGCCCCCCTCGCCCCCAGCTCGTACCTGCACTGCGAGTGGGCCACGATCGCTCAGCTGGAGAAGGACAAGAGGATCCACCAGAAACTCAAACGGTTCAAGACCAAAATGAACCAAATGAGGCATTTCTTCCACGAGGTTTGGGGCAAAAAATGGGGATTTGGGGAAAAATTGGGGGTTTGGGGGAAAAAACGGGGGTTTGGGGAAAAAAATCGGGGTTTGGGGGAAAAAAAAATGGGGTTTTGGGGGAAAAAATTGGGATTTTTTTTGTGGAAAAATTGGGATTTTGGGGGAGAAAATTGGGGGGTTTGGGGAAAAAAATTGGAGGATTTTTCGGGAAAAAAATTGGGGATTTGGGGAAAAAAACTGGAATATTTTGTGGAAAAATTGGGATTTTGGGGGAGGAAATTGGGGTTTTGGGGAAAAAAATTGGGGGTTTGGGGAAAAGATTGGGATTTTGGGGAAAGAAAATTGGGGATTTTGGGGAAAAAAGAGGAGATTTGGGGGAAAAAATTGGGATTTTTTTGTGGAAAAATTGGGATTTTGGGGAAGAAAATGGGAGGTTTGGGGAAAAAATTGGGGGATTTTTGGGGAAAAAAATTGGAGGATTTTTCGGGAAAAAAATTGGGGATTTGGGGGAAAAAATTGAGATTGGGGATTTGGGGAAAAAAATTGGGATTTTGGGGAAAAAATTGGGAATTTTGGGGGGAAAAATTGGGATTTTTTGGTGGAAAAATTGGGGATTTGGGGAAAGAAAATTGGGGATTTTGGGGAAAAAAAAGGAGATTTGGGGGAAAAAATTGGAATTTTTTTGTGGAAAAATTGAGGTTTTGGGGAAGAAAATTGGGGGGTTTGGGGAAAAAATTGGGGGATTTTTGGGGAAAAAAA